TAAAAAGTGACTGTCAATGGAGCATAAATACTAACAATGACTGATAAAGTGTTTGATTACCTAAAGTAAAAAAAAAAAATTAAAATTAAAATAAAAATGTGGTCTCTGTTAAGTTTTTCGTAGAAAACAATTATTCTTTAAGTAAAGTAACCAAGAAGTACAACCTACCAAATAATGCTTTGACCACAAACATACTGATTTGCTTGAACCATGCCCATGTTTTGTTTTTCAAAATATAAAATATACTCACATACATATTTTACATAATTTCCACCCTGGACTTCTTTATATACAAGTTGTTGAGTCAGCGTCTTCAAGTTCATCCCATCCTTCCAAAAGCAAAAAAAAAAAAAAAAGGTACCACTGCCTCATAAATCTGTCAAAGATTTCCAGAAGAGTTTGGTAAATTTAGTTTCCTGATGAACTTTCCTCCCCATTTCAGCAAACTGTGGTTGACATATCCTCAAGCAAGATATTCACTCTCATTTTTTTTTTCTTTGCAGTTACTCAGCGGTCAACTGAAGGCAGGGATTTCAGTCCCATCCATAAATTTAGGATTTTCACTCTAACTCCACCAAAAGCATAATGGCCAAAGTGGACAAACCCCTTAAAGTGCAATATCTGCCTTTGCAACTTAGTTCATAGGCACGCTTAATAATCCATAAATGTGTGCAGATAATTTTAAAAGGATGATCTCCTGTGATTGAAGCAATTTTTTTATTATTTTTGTTCCTTTGGAAACTGTTACAGAGCGTCTTAGTTTTAATTCAGCCTGATATCCTTTCCAGCGCAAAACCTTTGGACAGAAGCACTGAAAACCAAGCACACATTTCTTCGGCTTTTTTTTCTTTCAGCTTTCCAAAACAGCCGGTTAAATTTGTTCCAAAGGCCAGCTGCTTGGAATAGAATCATTATTATGACACAATATGGTGCCCACTTTTCTGTCCAATCTTTTCCCACTACTCAGTTTGCCACTTCTTCTACAGCTCCCTCTTGCCTCCTGTGACATTTAGATTGAAATGGGTCCAGAAAGGCTAGTCCAACCTGCTTGGTGCCTGCATGTAAATCAGGCCAATGGAGACACATCTGTAACAATACAGCTAGGTTAATATGGAGAAGAATTCCTCTGCATCGGTGAACATCTGGTGGGATATTTGGGACGCCAGGCCTCAGTCCCACCATCGTTTTTCTCTGTTATCGTTTCATTTCCCAACTGTCAACAGTTGTTCTTTTCTTTGTACTTTTCACCTAATTTCTCTCGCACTACAAAAAAATACTCCTTTATCCCTTTGTTCAGATATATTTATTTTTGCCTCGCTTTTTGTCTCTGTAGCATGACGTCTGTTTTTCAATATGTTTCTGTCCCTTGCTTGTCACTTTTTCGGGTGGAGGTGTGGTGTGGTGGGGTGAGGGGACTGTGATCACACGCAATTCTTAAATTTGGCAGTGATCCTTTAACTCCAGAAAAATTATTTACCATGGTAAATTAAACTTTGGTGTGATCTCTAAATACATGCCTAATAAAAATATATATATATATATATATATATATATATATATTCATTCCAATTTAAAGTTGTGAACTGAAAATTTATAATAATAAAAATAATAATACAAATTTGAATTGGACATTACTTTAAATTTTAAGTTTAGATATTGCATTTTTACAAAAATGACAACCTGGAACTGAAAACTACAAACATGTCAGAACTTAACACACATGCTTCTTCGTGCAATAAATGCTCTTTACAGCCAGCAGTGAAATCAGACTCATCATTAGACAAAAGAGAAAGACAAACCTGGTCAGTTATCTTTAACTGTGTCTCTGTCAGCACCTCTAACATATTCAATGAGTGCAAGAGCCCGAGGCAGTGCTGGTTAGACTGGGAGGGTAACTGAGACATGCGTCCATGCACAGGGGCTAAGTACTGGCTGGTTTTAATGTTCGTCCCATTAGCAGCTCCCATCATACTTTTTTGGATGGTGTACTGCCTTTTGCCCTGGGAATGGGAGTCATTACATATAATATGAAGAGATAGGTAAAAAATGTAAGAAATAGAATCAGGGTTGTGAAATGTTTTGGGTTCCATGCAAATGTCAAGGCTGGTATAAAATATTTAGAGACCAGCACTGATTGCTCTGCAATCCAACATGCAAAAAATTTATGAAATGTATTTTTTATTTTTTTTTATGGTTTTGTTTCACTTGTTAGACATCCCTGCAAATTTGATTCTTACTTTCCTGGACAGTGTGTATCTCAGATTTGAAGAAAAAAAAAAAAAAGAAGGAAAAACAGTTGCATTGTTGGGAAGACTGTCAAAATGTCTTCACTGACAAAAACTTAGTTTTACCTTTTTACCCTCACTTTTAATCCAAACCACCTTAGTGGACTGTATTTAACCTTTGTTAGCAGAGAGCACTGCGGAGCAACTTGATAGCCTCAGTGGAATATAGTATTGTATAACCGAAGAAGCTAAAGTGGAGGAAACTTCAAAGACGTAAACTAATAAGTATGCAACTATTAAAACAGTAACTGAATGTGGGGTTAATGAACATCACAAAAAACAACATTGTATAGAACAAGAGTAAAACATTTGTTGATTGAACATATACTTCATTACTGATTTTTTGTATGCACAACCTAATTATCTGAAGCAAATTTCAGTGTTGACATAGCAAGAAACATCATGTTTTAATTAAAGCAAGTTCATTTTTAACAACACTGCAAAATGTAGATTTATGACAACTGTCTTCAATTAAAGAAGACATTTAATATTTTATGTAATGACAGACAATGTGCAAACAGGAAAACGTCAATAATGCCTTTTTAAACGTGTGCATATTAATTTCCTGTTTGGATTTCTGATTCTGGACAAATTCTACCAATCTTTTAGAGATAGTTTGTGAAAAATACTGAAATAATAATTTTAAGATATGTTGCCATGTCAAATTGCTATCTGGCAAACTGCTCTTGCTAGTGTGGGCGTCTCTCTGACAGGCCCGCATCTTTGAAGTTGTGCTGTTTATTAATTAGAGAAGCCGAAACCTCCCCGCTCATGTGTGCCCCTTGCTTGTCAGCACTGCAGCGCTGAAGGCTTTGTACATGATGAAGGTGATGGTGCGTGTATGCTTTGCTGTGTGAATGGGAGGGATCACAAGTTTGTCCAAATGCTCTCAAGTGAAAGAGCCACAAGTAAATTACTTGTAGCTGTCGCCACATGCGTTGGCTGTCAGCTGAGCCAATGTGGGCCGAGAAGTACATAATTCACGTCATCGAGAAACATGTTGCATGCAAATGGCTTTTAAGCTGACTTGAAGAAATTACTTTGGTTTGCGCGCTCAGCACAAATGGAAAACAGTTTCTTAATCATACTCATGAGCTCTATTAACATGAAAAATTGAGATATGTGTTCTTCAAGGATGTAGGTAAATGCCAAGGAGAGTTTGAAACTGTCAATTTGATTTAATTGAGCCATTTAGGGCTAACTCATTAGCAGTGGAGGGCTTACTCTACAAAACACTTTTAATTAGTCTATTCAATTAAAAGCATTTGTGATACACATTTAGCAGCAGCAAATGATTCACTCTCTAATGACAGTTGATAGCGGAGGATGAGATTAATTGACTTAGTTTTTGTTTTAATTATGATAAACATGATTTTCTCAGGCATCAGTCTCACATACTTCTGAATATAAATGCGGAAGTACCATACTAATTTTGAAGTACGTATCAACAATTATATTTTCCAGTACTTTGCAAAAGTATTTCAGGCTTAAATTCCAGGATCTGTTTTCATTAGATTTGCACAGAAAAGAAAGCAACCAACAATTTCACCATTTGTCTTTTTAACATACCTGAAATGCAGTAATATTGAAAGGAGAATGTATGTAAACAGTTAATTTTAAGACTTGACAGAGATCCTCATTTGGATTTCGATTAAGCGGTGGCAGTTGTTGATATGGCCAACATCCATTCAAATCAAAGTTTTTCACGTTGTTTGGGTTTTGTTCAAAACCATTACATTATTCTATTTCACAATTTTTTGTTTTGTTGTGCTGCACAAATTTACAAATAAATTATTCAGTTTGTGATGGTATCAAGAGAAAGGACAAATACAGATATAATTACTTTTGCAGGACACCATTTTATTTTATATGTGCTTCTTTTTGTGCCTAATTATTTGGTCGAAGAATATTTACTCAATACTTCTTGTGATATGTTTTTCTTTTCCTTTAAGTGGGTTAGAATAAGCCAAATTCAAGCAGCTGAGTATTTGCACCCACAATACTCTGGAGTGCATATGGGGTTAAAGGCCAGCGGCAGCATACGGTGTTTGAGATGTAACGAAGTGCATATCAAGGAATGAAAAACAGCCACCTTCCTGACAGAAGCCATTACTCATCAGCAGTATTTCTGAATGCTAACCTGCTGAGAACCACAACCTAAGAAAAGAGCCAGTGTCCAATAAATCCTGGGTGACCAAGCAAAATAGGAATTTCCGACTTATGCTGTTAGGGAGTGAGAAAAAAAGAAGTGAAGGGAGGGAGAAAGGAAGAGGGAAAGTGAAAACTTTTACCAGCCTGACATAACCTGAGCCAAAGAAAATTATTACTCTTCCTGAAGGCTGAAACTACTGTCAGCATTTGGGTTGAAGTCAAAATCCACTGATACAAACTCTCAATTATTTGTATTAAAAACAAGTAGTTTAGTAACAGGCATTGACTCTGTTTTTGTTTCCATAAAACATCAACGCAAACAGAACCGCAGTGCATAGAATATACTGTTTTCATAGCTTAGGGTGTGACATGCTATTTTAAGGCCTTTCTCTTTCAAAAACACACCAAGATTCAGTAAATATGCAGCAACACAACTACCTTATTAATGTGTTATTAACAACAGTAATTATAGATGTAAAGCTACAGACAAAATGAAAACCAATTGCCTATGTCACTCCCCTTAAACCTTATCCACAGCTCAACATGGCACTGTACTCTACTCACCCTGAGGCAAGTCAGATTACCTCGCTCCTCACTCCGCAGGCTATCCGGGCTGCTTGGATCAGGATTTGAAGCAATGAGGGGATCTGAGACACAGCTGGTTGGAAAAATAGGGGAAACTATTAGGAAAGAGATTTGGATCAGTAGGGAGGATGTATTGGACAACTAGAAGTCCTCAGTCTCTACTGTTCGATCGAGTGCAAGTGCTCAATATTATAGATTTACAGCAAAGCGCCCATTCTTCCCGAGTTATTATGGACTCTGTGTGTATAGTCAAGGAAAGTTGAGCTAGATTGGTGATTGTCAGGGAAGGATATTTCTATGTGATGCCTTCAGCATGCAGAGAGAAAATCTTTGCACTCAGCCTTGTTAAAAAGTTTGTTTTTTGCAATACTGTTTTTGCAGACAAAACACTGACCTCTGAGGTCATAAGGACTTGGGGGACAATTGGTTTATAATTGTGTAATCATTCCAGAGCATTTAGGCATAATTACAAAAAGGGCTATGCTACTGTGTGTCTCAAAGGTTCAGTTCAGTTCTGCAGGAAGTGTTTTCAGTCCACTCAGTCTCTCTGGTATTTCTTGAGTTCGCAATCTCGGAAATTCACAGAAAATCAACAAATACCTGCAGTATTCATGCTTAGAGGAATATATATTTGAAAGCGAAGTAGCATGGCACCAACAGCTGAAACCAGGTGTATACTGTAGAGAAAGATACGTTTTGTACTTTTTCACTGGCATTAAATTTGATTGGACTGTTTTCATTTTAGGCCAGTTGGAATGACAAAAAGTATGATTTTTTATTTTTTTTGCTAAGTCCAATAATGAGATATTTTTTTTGTATTATTTCATTCAAATTCATTAGTTTTGATACAGCAGGATCCCTACATTAGACAATTAGGGAAAGACGATATGATGATTTCATAGTTTGCTAAGCTAATGACTTAATTTAAAACATTTGAGTTAAATGGAGGCTCATCTGTGGATAGTAAATACAATGTTTCTTTGCGTGCTATCACGATTAAATTGAAAAGAAATCAACCAAGAAATCATACTGGTTTATTGTTGAGTACAGTTGGCAGATGCCTTTCGTTGCTGTGTTTTTTCTGTTCAGATGCTGCAGGAATGTCAAGCGATCATTACTGTTCATCTCTGGGACACTGAACCTGTCTCTCTAAAGTGTTTTCGCGAAAAATATATGTGCCAAAAAATACAGCAAAAGACCTTGCCAAAATGTTGCCTTAAGTTCTTAAGAGAGTATTGTTGTCCACAATGAAGCAAGTTCTTTACAAACATGGACTGCAAGGTCGCACAGAAAACAATACTATCCATGACTACAAACACAAAATAAAAATCTTGATTCCTGGAGACATGTCCAGTGATCGTGTCCAGGCTAAATATTTAGCAACGTGCAAATTAAATATTCAGCTCCAAATTAAATATTTAGGTTGTAAAATACATATTTAGTTCCAAAGTAAATATTTATTGTCCACTCTAAATATTTACACCAGATCTAAATATTTAACTTGCTAACTAAATGTTGAGGTTGCTACCTCAATATTTAGCTTGCTCATGTAGCTACAGCTACTGCACCAACTTAATCTGCAGTCAAGCCAGAACACATCTGGCTCATGTTTGATTTATATTTATAGTCGCTCAAAAGAAACTTGAAATAAAAGTTTTTGCAGAAACAAAAATGTTCATATATATTAAAAAAAATCATTTTCAACTGAATAAACAGGAAGTCTTAAACTTACATAGTCGTTCCAAAGCAATTTTGGACACACATATCCTTAATTTCTGTACTTTATACTGTGTTCTGCAAGAAAATACCTCACAGATAAAGAATCTGAGCTGAGTTTGAGTTTTGCAAAGAGTGTTCATTCTACTATTTTTTTCTGACTGGTCACAAGGTCAGCTTATATGGATGTTGTATATGTTTGCAGATTTTTGCCTTATTATTTCAGTCAATGGCCTTGGAGTGTGTCTGAGAGCAGTTTAAGATCCAGCTTTTGGGTGGAGGAGGACCAATCTATTTTAATAGCTCTTACCACCGTATAGAGAATCTGCTGGGTGTACGATTAAGTTTCTCTTGTGCCAACAGAAGATGTTTGATTGAGCGTATCTGGGCATAAATCAAAGCCAAAAAGTGTTAAAAGTAACTTCAGGAATGTCGGACATTATCCATAAGACCTTGATCAAATTGCCAAGGTCTGAAGTTGGAATCCAAACTGCCTGCTCAGTTGAGACTATGGTTACTTCACACCTGAATAAAGAAAGAGGCAGATGTGAAGTTGTCTCTTTAGCTAGGTTAAAAGTTTATTTTACAATGCAAACTACTTCCTCTGTGTATTGAAAAGACACTGACAAAAATGATCATTTCTACCTTGATCAGTTGTTTGAACGTATTTTGGTATTTTGTCCAAATACCTTTTAAGTTTAGTTGGCTGCCACATAATTTTGTAAATATGAATAAACTAATAGATGGATGAATACAAGAAGAAAAAGAAAAAACTTTTTTTTGTTTTTTCAAATATATGAAATATCATCACTTCCTGCAGTCTGCAAGTTTGCAAAGTCTTTCTTAGGACTTGTAATACTTTTTTACAATAGCAAACAAACCATAAATATTACAAATAATTGCTAAATGTTAGTTCCTCCTCTGCTTCACCTCTGAGTTGGTTCAATTAAGCTTACCCTGTCCCAGGTAAATCTGAGCAATAAAATGCCTCTTCTTTGTTATCTTTTCAGCAGACATTTCAAGGTTTTTGTTCAAAACAGGCTCACATTTAGTTCATGAGTTATCCCCCTTGAGTAAAAGTCTAGTTCTCCTTGAAAAAAATGTCCTTCAGAGCATTATACTGCCTCCACCATGCTTCCCAATGGGTTTCGTTATTATTATTTATTTATTTATTTTTGTTAAGTATAGTGTTGTTTTTATGCAGAAATGATCTTTGGAATTGCTGCCCAAAACCTCATACCACAAAACTTTGAAAGAGTTTTGCCGAGCCTGGATGTGTTCATTGGAAGAAGAGTCCTCTGTCTCCCTACTCCTCTGTTCAGACATCTGGAGAATACAGGAGGCTGTTGTCAGAAGGAGAAAACAAGCAGAACTAAACAGGATTTCCTGCTGCTCTTTTTAGTGTTACTGTCAGATTTTTGGCAGACTTCCTGACCCATTTTTGTCTCATCTCGAATGATGAAATTGCATCTACGTGTACATTACAAAGTATGATTTTAGGGTTGTGCACATTTATCCAGTAAGGTTATTGCAGCCTTATTTTTAACCTCAATTTAAATTTTTTTCTTGAATTGTACACAATACACGTCACACTATGTGCAAAACTTTTGGAGATTGTTTATCAACATCCCATTTCTTACACCGAAAATAACTGTGATTTAACAAATGGCCTAAGATCGGTGACAGCTACTGTTAGCCCTTGTAAAGTATATTCACTAATACAAAATGCAACAAACTTGTTTAATGTCGAGACTGATGTCTCTGCTATTCAAGGTAATTGAGCAACAGCAGGTAGCTACTTTAGAAAGTTTTAATGAAACAAAAAATAACATAATAATAATTCACTGAATTCCACTTGGTTTTCCAAGTATTTTTTCTTCCAGCCAAAGTTTGTATAGATGACATGCCTTGTTAAAAGACATACATTGAGTTGAGTTTAATTCAATCAAATTCAGTCCAATTCAATCCACAAATGGAATCAGACACATTAGACAATTACAAAGTGTCTTAGGAGATTTATTCTAAACAGTTAACGTTATGGACAGGTAGGACCTTTTTACCAACTGGCATAATCAAATCATCATTTTACTGCATAATTTCAATGCATATTTTGTGCAGTGGAATGTAAGTGATTGACTTCCAGGCAGTTTATGTGATTGGATTTAATTGACTGCATATTTCCAAATTGTATATGCTTGTTTTGTAAAGTGCTTTGAGACATTTGTTATAAATCGGTGGTGTATTGTATTCAATTAAAGTTAGATTGAATTGAATGTGATTTGTACTGAAAGTCTGAATGAGTGAAAATCAATGCTGAGAGCACAGTCCCCTGTAGTATGTGCTTCACCTGATCAGACACACAACCTTACAGTCCCATAGAGTGAGGTCTGTTATGTTGTTGTGTTTTTATTAAATATAATATACCTAAATGTTCATAATTTGTTTACATTGCTTTACTCCTCATGGGAATTTGTGACTAAAAGTTGCCCTAAGTGCATATCCAAACCAAATGTAATCTTGTCTAGATTATATGTTGTGCATGTTACACTTATTTATGAAACGTTTGAATCCCAACATCTTAATAATATTATATTTGGTAAAAATGAGCATTCTGGCTTTGTCAAAGTGAGGTAGCATTCTGACATTGTGCACAAACAACGCCAGAATGCAACGCTTTCCATATGTCAGTTAAAATGTATTAATTTTAGAATTTTTTAAATTAATTTTTCAGAGCAGAAAACTTCTCTCTCGCTGCATCCAGACAACCTTAGTAAAACAACAGAAGGTTAGGATAGTAATCATTTAAATTGAGCTCTCTTCTCCTTCTATCACTCCTTTAAACACATTTCTAACCAAGGTAGTCTTAATTCTAATCACAGGAAAATATATTCAAGTCTGCAAGTAGCTGCATCTAAGAGAAGCTCTTGTGTATGCATACCACATATATATTTCATTAGATGCCGTATGAATATGTATGAATGAACGATCTGCAGGGCACTCTGCACAAACACAACCATTCATCAACATCACTTTGAGGTAAGATGTTTAAAGAATTTTGTCTTCCCAGAATGCATTAGTTAGGTTAAAAAGAGTGTGTGCGCACATATGTGTGTGTGTATGCGTGAGCATGGTGAAGTTGGAGGTGGATGCACTATTTATAGTTTTAAGACTGTTCTTCACGAGTGAGATTTAGCTCATCTGGCTTGCATAAATCCCGTTTTCCTGATCATATCCTGAACTTTTCGCATATCTCAGGGTGGAAGGGAAGCAGAGCAAAAAGGATAGCTGTCTGTATAGGCACGTGGAGGAAACGGTACAAGTGAGAGAGAGAGCCGGTGTGTCTCTGAGTATGAGAGG